GGGGGGCGCCCATTGGCGCGCGGTCCTGGTGTTGGTGACACAGCTGTGCCAGGTGCCAAAAAAAGCCTCGCGGGTGACCTCCGGGAACTACGTCCATCTTCCATATGTAAAATACATTTAATTGTGTAAACCCGAGCGTTGCCCGGGTCAATCGTCTAGTATATATATATATATATAGATGGAAAATTTGCCGGGAGGAAATTAATCCATGGAAGCAATGGTCGCCTCTCCCGTCAAAATAAACGTCAGAATCTGACGCCATCTATTGACCGTCGCCGCAATTAGCGGCATCGGGTCGGTGACAAAGCACAACACCAACTTTGGCAAACTGATAAGCGTCCACCTAGAGACCATGGTTTCGGGCTAATGGCCCTCGTCAGTCTAGGGCGGACTTTATTCCATGAGATCCACACGGGATCTAATGGAATCCTCACAATCTACCAAAGAGGTGTTTTGCTGGCAATGTGGCTAGGCCAAATCTATTGGCAAAACATAGATGGAAAATTTGCCGGGAGGAAATTAATCCATGGAAGCAATGGCGTCAGATTCTGACGTTTATTTTGACGGGAGAGGCGACCATTGCTTCCATGGATTAATTTCCTCCCGGCAAATTTTCCATCTATGTTTTGCCAATAGATTTGGCCTAGCCACATTGCCAGCAAAACACCTCTTTGGTAGATTGTGAGGATTCCATTAGATCCCGTGTGGATCTCATGGAATAAAGTCCGCCCTAGACTGACGAGGGCCATTAGCCCGAAACCATGGTCTCTAGGTGGACGCTTATCAGTTTGCCAAAGTTGGTGTTGTGGCTTTGTCACTAACCAGAGGCCGCTAGTTTGCGGCGACAGTCAATAGATGGCGTCTAATTTTGACGTTTAATTTGACGAGAGAGGTGACCTATGCTCTCTTTGATAGATATATATATAGTTAAAACTTTTATTGAAATGGTAGTGCATGGCTCTATAAAGTGGTCTGGTAGAATAAACTAGCAAAACCTGGAAAGGTTCACTAATGATGAGCCATGCATTCCCATTTCAATTTTTAGCATTGCAGTTAAGGTGTATATAGAACTCTTTAATTAATAAATACCAAAATACTTCAATTTCCAGCCTATTGTTCTATTTATTCCTAGGATACTGTTAGGTTTGTTTAATTAATGACAAAGGCCAGTTTAAAGGTTCTACGGTGAAGAAGGAAACATAGTTTATTAACTTTTAAAATATACGCGTGGTCTCATGCTACCACTCGAGATAGGCTTTTTTCTTCTACCCCCGCGCATGCGCGGCGGCTACGTCACGTCCGGTGACATCACAGATACATTTTAAAATTTTCTTTTTCTCTGATAAGGTACAATTTGGATTATAGATTAGAACTACAGTAGAACCTCCACTAGAGGATACCTCTCTACAAAGGACAGTTTTCCTGGTACCTGGTAATAAGACCAAATCCACACATTATTAATTTATTTGGATTTAGTCTTATTACCTTACAATTTTCTCTGCCAACAATGAAATTGTTTCACACCAATCACATAACAGGAAGAAGAGACACACCACATTACCTGTAAATATGAAGTGAGTGAGACAGTTGGTGTTGTGTGCAGTCAGGAAGCCCTGCAAACTCTGCAGATCCACAGACCACAAGACCAAACACTGCCCCCAGCAAGCTGCTACAACCATCGCCCCTGGTCAAACGTAAGTCACAACTGTATAAAACCCTAGATAGTTAGACATTATCATGTGAAAAAATAATAGAAAAAAAATAATAATAAAAAGGTCAGGTGTTGATATCTATATATATAAAAATGAATGTTTGTATGTTTGTTTGTATGTCCGGTATACAAATTCGCAGTAGTTCACTAATTCAAACCAAAATTTCCATACATAGGTAAAAAAATACGGAGAAGACGATAGGCTATTTTAAAAAATATATAAATCAATTATTAAAACTATATATTTTTAGTCAGAAAATGATGATGATGATATTGCTGTATCATGTTTGATTACACTGATAGACAAAACTTAAGGAAGTTGTACCTTGCATCAAATATCTCTCAGAGTTATTTTCTGAATCCCGATATATATATGCTATAAGGTACAACTTCCTTAAGTTTTGTCTATCAGTGTTATCAGATACAAAATTATATCGGAAAAATTCCAAAAAGCAGAGACCACGGGTGAAACCAGTTTATTATTTTGTACGCAGGAACAAAATTCTAACAGAAAAACATTCATTCGAGCAGAAAACAAAAGCCAGATCATCTTTCTATAAAAATATCGCTTCTCAGACACAAAGTTTGGAGCGGGACGTTTCACAAGAGTGACATCCACGGCGCCAATTTATACATGTGCTCCTGGTCAGGATATGCCATTTTTATTTTTAGACATTATTATAGATTGTTGTGGAAGAGAGAAGCCCAAGTTGATATAATAGAGGTTTCAATGACAAAAGCAGACTCATTCTAGTTCAGAGTTATGGGGGAAAGAGAAGGTTCTTAGTATAGTGGCATCTGCATCTACGCTGTTTGTAGACCAGTAGAGACCTGGATAGATACCTCGCAGTGAACCACTAAATCAGCTAGGAGAGACCTCTAGGCCCCGAAGCCTATAAGAAAAGTCCTTCTCTAGAAGGACTTTATGGATTTATACTTATGGAAAGATACATCTTAAAATACAAACATCAGGCCTCCAGGGAAAAGTTTATTTTTAAAAAAATCTTTCATTTACAAATCTCTCTAGCTTTCGGGCAAGAAAGCCCTTCTATAGGAGAAATGTATTCAAGGGATTATTTTATTGAAAGATATATCTGTTGCATATATCAATAAAGTAAGGATTGAAATTTATGTAACTTCCATCTCCCATGACTTCATCCCAGTTTGTTGTCTCAACTTTGCCATTTGTTGTTACAGAACTGAAGTTGAAGAAGATCAAGTTGTAACAGAGATGAGTTAGCATTACCTCCCCTTTCTCTGTAAATAATCTCATCAACCCCCAGTCTACACAGTCAAACATTCTAATCAACTTTTACCAATAAACTCTGTCAAATTTGTTTCTCCTATTTGTACTTTTGACAATATTACAATAACCCACCCAGAGACTACCCAAAAACATTAACAAAATGGTCTTTAATCATATAAGGCGATACCATGCCATCTATTTATAAGAAATGGAAGCATTATAAAGCATGAATGTTTCTTTTTTTTAAACACAAAACAAACTTCTCTACTGTCCTTACTGCGATGAGCCACTGATGAACCAAGCCCTCCCAATATATTCTTTCATCGCAGTAAGGAGAGTAGTGAAGTTTTTTTATATTTAAAAAAAAGAAATATTTGTGCTTTATAATGCTTCCTTTTCTTATAAAATGGTCTTTAACAAACAATACATAGAACCATAGAAATGTTGTGAATGAAATTATCCAGTACTATTTCTTTTTATATAATCGTTCAAAATGAATTTTTGCAATTCACAGAAATCTCATAAATTTATTCAAATAACATCGCACTTCAAATGCAGACAATATAAGCTTGAATTAAATATAATAGTTGTAGCTTATATAGATCTGATGAATTAAATGGGAAGGTCACCACAGATCTCCAAGCCTTCACAATCTTCAATTCACTAATAAATTTATCCTATATGATCAAAAAAGAGAAATAGCACTGATAAAGCACAATTTGGATTATAGATTATAATACAAGAAAATAAGACCTAATCCAATAAAATCTCATAAATTATTTGGATTAGGTCTTATTTTCTTGTAGAAATAGCACTGAATAATTTAATCATACAATATGATGTCTCATAGAGGTATTGTTTATTGTTGCTGTTTCTTATCCCCTTGTGTAAAGATTAAACAAATTCCATGAGTTCATGCTCCTCAAGCTTAGTGGTGTTTAATTAGAGTCATATTTGGCATGCGACTTCAGCCAATTTTTTTCTATTTAGTTCCCTACCTCTCAGTGATTCATTGTCACTCGCCCCTGAGGTTGGTTGATGTAGCCATATATTTTTCCAAACAAACTTCCAATCAATAAAAGATCTTCAAAAGTCATATACGATTTTACAAAAGTGATTGTTCACATAATGGTTGATCTAGTCATCTGAAAGCTCACTAGAGAGAGAGGGATATATGCCTGTGATGGGTGTTAAAAATTTCATGCAGAAAATGAGCTCCAAGTCCTATTATATACATCATTCACTGTGAAGAAAGGGATGACCCTTAGTTGAACAGAAGAAAGATGAAAAAAGAGGAGGGGCAGCAGTAACAAGCTTGTTAAAAAACCTGGGCATAGTTAGCCGGCTGATAGTACCCTGCAAGGTCTCCTGATCCAGGGATACAGGATGAGAAGCCTTTGTACTCCATGTTAGGAGTGACTGCACATGGTGTCTGTTCCTTATGTCAGAGGCTGGCCATTTCTTTTGGAGCTAAGTCGGCCTACCACTGAGTAGTGCTCCCAGTCTTAATGACAAAGGCAGATGCATTCTACTTTACCCACACCATCAAAAGTCTCAAGCTCTACAAGCTTGATACCTTAATATAATTGAGTGGAGATAAGAAGGATGTCAGGGAGTCTTGTACTCCTGGTTGGGCTAATGTGAAGACCATCCCACTATGTCCAGCTGAATGCTAGCTGACAAAAATGTATACCCACCTATGTATTATCAACAGGAAACATCAATATTGTCGCCCGCTTCTCCTCTAGGTTCTTCTTCGCGATGATGACGACGCTTCCTCCTTCGTGGATCACCTACCCAGGCTCCGTTGCTTTACCTCTGCAGACCACCCAAAGATCTTCTGAGAACCACCAGTCAAGTGGATCTCCTTTCCTCTGGCAGTATCTCTCGGCCTTACCACTGGTGGGGGGACATGAGAGACTTACCAGAAGAGTAGCTACTGTGGTGTTGGCGAGAGAGTCACAACAGCAACAAGTTATTGTCATCTTTAAACCACATTACATAATAACTCGAATATTAATCAATGGGTATTTACACTATTTTTCATCCCAGGGCCAATATCAATGGTTCAGAGTCCAAAATAAATCGTAGTGTTTCTTGTAGAATACATTTCCAAAAGGCTCCTCACATGATAATTATAGAGGCACCCTCACCCCATGGACAAGGGAACTCTATATAAATAACAGGATAAATTACTCAACTGCCTTACAATGCACAATTGATGAGTCAGCAAGACATCATATGCTTTAATCATTACTGTAGAGAGAGAGAAATCAGTTTTCAATTCTGAAAAAATCTACTCTAAAATATTTTATTCACACTAGATTAGTGGACAAAATTAACACCAATATACCTCAATTCCTTTCTGACAACTATAATCGAAACATAATTTACATGTAGTGCAATAAAAATAAAGGTTTCTGTCAAAATATGTTAAAACTAATCTATATTATTTTCAGTGTCTATTTTGCAGGGAGAGGCGACTTTTATTTTTATAGATCAATTTCCTTCAGCAAAATTTCCATGTGTATAGTACAATAAATTTGTTTAAATATCATAATTATTCAACTTCTTACTCCCCCATCATCGACTCCTTTATCTCCCTCTTTGGCTCCCCTCCCCCCCTCGCCTTCTCTTCGCTGGAGATGTCAATGCCGTTTCCCCTCGCTGGAGCTGCCAAAAACCAAACTCCAAAGGCAACTACATCAACCTCCTCGATGCCCTCGACCTTAAGGTTTGCAACACCCGGGGAGCTATCACCCGCTCCCAGGGCTCCAGCTCCTCCTCCATTGACATCTCCAGTGTCTCTTCCTCCCTCCTCTCCTCTGTTTCTGGCTGGACCTCCTACCCTACCGACCACTACGAGATCCGCTTCTCTCTTTCCCTCCCTCCTGACACCATCCCCTCTTCTCCTCCTCCCCCTCCTTCCCCTTTCCCCGACTTCTCTCCCCTCCGCTTTCCCTCCCAGCCTCCTTTGTCCCTCTTTAACTCTCTCGCCAGATCCCTAACCAACTCCGGCTCTCTTATCCTAGCCCTTGGCCACTGCACCTCATCAGACTCTCTCGACTCTCTACTTCAATCCTTCTACTCTATCCTATTCCTCAACTGCCACCAGCACCTCCGCCCCCGCCCTCCTTCCACTAACTTTCCCCCTCCCGTCCCCTGGTGGTCCCCCCAACTGCAATCTCTTAAATCACTCTCACGCAAGCTTCGCCGCTCCGCTCAAAACAGCTCTCCCCCCAGCTTCTCCGTCGGACACTTCCCCACCCTTTGGAAAGTGGGTCGCCTCCTCCTCCTCCCTAAATGCTCCTCCTCCACCGACTTCAACCATAAATGCCGACCCATTATAATTCTCCCCATTCTCAGCAAGCTACTCGAAAGCCTTATGGCCTTCCGACTCTCTCACCATTTCGAGAGCAACCACCTGCTCCACCCTCACCAATTCGGCTTCCGACGAAGGCGCTCTACCACCGACGCTCTTTCCCTTCTCCATCAAAAAATCAAACTGTCCATCTCCAAATACCAGTGCTGTCTCCTCATTAGCCTTGATATCAAATCAGCCTTCGACCACCTGTGGCATCCCGCCCTTTTCGGTCGACTTGTCGCCGCCTCCTGCCCCCCCCGCCCTCCTCCAACTTTACCGCTCTTTCCTTTCCAACCGCTCTATCCACTTCTCCTATCGAGGATTCTCTCGCTCCACCTCTCCCTCGCGGGGATGCGCTCAGGGCTCCATCAGCGGTCCCCTGCTCTGGAACATATTCTTTAACCCCATTCTCTCCCTCCCCTTCCCCCACGGCGTCCACGTTTAGGCCTTCGCAGACGACATTCAGATCCTCGTCTCAGGCCCCCCCAACAGCCTCCCTTCTCTAGCTCAGTCCTCCCTAGACCTCATTCACTCTTGGTGCCTGGACAACAAGCTCTCCCTCACCCCACATAAGTCACTGGTCCTCCCTATTTACTGCAACCCTCCCCATCTCCTCATAGACAACACCCCCCTCTCCTGTCCCGAAACCCTCACCATCTTGGGCGTTACTTTCGGCGATCGCCTTTCCTTCACCCCTCACCTCTACCGAGTCTGCGATAAGGCCTCTTCCCTCCTCGGCAGGATCTCCCAATGCTCCAACGCCGTCTCCGGGCTCGGCTACATCGCGAGGAGACGCTTCTACAGCGGAGTCGTCGAACCAGCCATCACCTACGCCGCCCCCATCTGGTGCGAAGCAGTCAAACTCCGCGTCGGTAAAGCGAGCCTCCGTTCCATCCAACGCAAATTCTGCATCCACGTCATTCGGGGGTTCCGCACAGTCCCTACCCTCACCGCCATTGCCCTTCTCCGCGTCCTTCCCCTGGACCTCAAGGTCCTCTTCCTCTCTTCCCTCCTTCGCCCCCCCGAGCCTCTCCCCTTCACTCCCGAAACCCCCCCTCCCCCATTCCACTTCCCCTCCCCTCCTCTCCTCCCAGACCTCTCCTTCTCGCTCCTTCCCCCCTCCGCTCCCGACTTCGACTACTACACCGACGGCTCCAAGTCGCGCAGCGGCGTCGGGGCCGGCATAGCCAGGATCTCCTCTTCTCCCCTCTCCTCTCGCTTCCCCCCCCCCCCCCCCCCCCCTCGACCTCTCCATCCCCCTGGCCTCCCACTGCTCCGTTTTCCAGGCGGAATGCTTCGCCTTCTAAACCGCCCTTACCTATCTTAGCAGCCTTCCCCCCTCCCTCTCCGCCGCCATCTCCTCCGACTGCCTCTCTCTCCTTTCTGCCCTGTCTTTCCCCCACTCCCCTCACCCTCTCGTTGCCAAGTGCCAAGCCCTCCTTTACTCCCTCCTCCCCTCCCGCAACCTCACCCTCCACTGGGTCAAAGGTCACTCCGGTAACTTCGGCAACTGCCTAGCTGACTCGTTAGCCAAAGGAGCCACCGTCGCCCCCTCTCTCTCGCCGAAATACGCTCTTGCTTCCAAAACTACTCACCACAAGTTCCTCTCCCATCACTTTTGGTCTCTCTGGGAAGACGAATTCATCTCGGCCAGGCCCAGCTTCTTTCTCAGACTCGGCCTCACCCCCAGCTCCCTCTCCTCCTCCCATAGCTTTCTTCTACCAAGCTCTGCCATAGCCACCGGTCTTATCACTGGCCACACCTTCATAGCCGCCAACCCTCATAGGAAGACCCCTCCCCCCTTTGACCCCACCTATCCTCACTGCAACCAAGCTCCTGAAACTATAGAACACATTTTCTTTGACTGTCCTGACCTCGACTTCCTCCGCGCTACCTTTTTCCAAAATTGCCTAACCAACCTCGGTCTCATCCCTACTTCCTCCCTCAGCTCTTCTCTTCCAGCAAAGCCTGGGCCCTCACCCTCGACTTTGCCACCCATTCCAATCGATTCGTCCCCTCCAACATCCCCCATTCTAGCTCCGACAGTGACACCTCCACTTAGGACCCCCTCTCTCCCCCACAACCCTCACTCACCTCTCTCCTCTTCCCAACCACTCACCCCTCAACCTACTAGACACACACCAACACACCCAACACAACTCCCTGAACCATGAACATATCCCACTCTCCACTATCCTTCCCCCTCCCCTTCCTGGTAATACCCAGTTTCCTCCCTCTCCAGCTTCCACCTTTTGTAAATACCCCTTTCCTCCATTCCCATTAAACGCTTTTCTTTCATTCATATTGTTAATAGCCCTCTCCCTCCTCCTTGAATTAATCTGCCCTCCCTTCATGTTTCTTTTTCTCATTGTTCCGTAAATACCCCTCATTTTTCCTCCCTCCTCACCCCTACTGCTTTATGATGCCTTGTTTGCCCCCTTTGTATATAATTCAACCCCCTCTGCTACCTACCTAATCTTTGTACTTTTGTGTTTACAATAAAATAAACTGGAAAAAGGGGTAAATTTGCAATCTGCCAGACTTGCTTGGAGCCTGGCGCTGTACTTGGTGCTTCCTTGGTTCCCTCTCTAACCCTGCTACCGCCCTCTTCCTCCTCGGGGCGCTTACGCGCCCAGTCTGCGCCTCTCCACCCCTCTCCATGGCCCTTCCTCGCAGCGGGCCCATGGCGACACCCAATGATGAGTTCTGCCTTAAAATGCTCGACCTGAAGCATGTAGAAGGCTCAACAATTGAATATATCATAATTATTCCTCTGAAAAGGCAAGTAGTGTGATTGTGATATTCACATCATTATTGAGCGTGAAATTATAGTTCATCCGTCTTATTTTCTACACTCAATTTTGAGTTGTGATGTCATATTTCCTTATCAAAAATGACCAAAAATTCACATAGGCCTGTCAAAACCAAGTCATTTGTCTAGTTGTTCAATCAAGTAATATTGATGAATCTACCTAAAATATGATATAAAAGTTTTTATATTGATAGTTAAAATTTTAAAAATAAACTTGAAAATATCAACTTATAGCAAACTCGCTGCTTTTACTGATAGTACAATACAGTAGAACCCCATGCTATAACAAATGCACTAGATACCACGATTTTTGTTGTTAGAATCCAATTGTTGATATTGTTAGGACACCTCGTGACCACAGTATGCCAAAATCACCCAGAACCCTACCTAACCTAACCATGTCTCACCTTTCCCCATCTAAGCTGCCAACCTCTAGTAATTTTGAAGTGTAGAGATGGAGCCTGAGGCCGCCTTCAACCTTGACAGCAACAAGCCAGAGTCCCAGATGGACTCAGACGCCCCTTCCCTGTGGTCAAGCCACTGAACTGTGGTGGATGACCTGGCCCTACCAAGCTAGTCTGAGATGGACTTAGCACCCCTTCCTTGTGGTCGAGCCACATGTCCCATGGTGGCTGACTTGAACCCAAGCCAGAGTCCAAAATGGACTTAGACACCCCTTCCATGTATCAAGCCATTGACCTATGGTGTTTGACTTGACTCCACCAATACCAAGCCAGACTCCAGCATGCATATGGGCAAGCCACAAGCCCATGGTGGGGGTGTTAAAATCACCATCTTCAGGCAGAACACCAGCTTCACCACAGCCCTGAACCTTTCCCAAGCTGACCCCAAGATGCCCAGATCCTGCAATATTAATTATATTTTTTTTTATTTAATACTTTATAATCTTTTTTTGTGCGATTCTTCTTAATAATTTTATATTTAATTTTTTTAAATATTTTTTAAAGATATTTTTATATTTTTTTCACAGAAAGAAGGGTGATGATAGCCTGGGAGGGGGGGGGGGTGAGTCCAGCAACACTGGGGCAAGGAAGCGGGATATTTACATTAGTGGGAGTTTGATTTATTTTTCCTGAGAAGCAGAGGATTGGGAGTTGCTGAAAGCCAGGCCGCTGGCCTGTATGCGTCCTTGGCCGCCCTTTTTCGAATCCTGGATTTGGGTTACTGGATGTAGAAGTAGGTGGGGATAAATATGATTTTGGCATGGTAGGCCTTTTTATATATATATATATATATATATATATATATATATATTGAAACGGCAGATCGGAAAATCTTGCTTTGTTTGCAACGACACGATATAGCACGCAACACGCGTGCAGCCAGCAGGCGGAAGGAACGGCTGTGGCGTCACAACTGGGTCAGCCAATCGGGGCGCGCAGAACGTTCTAGCATGTTTTTCCCGCCAGTTTTGATTATCGCTGGCTGGCGGCGCGCGAGACAGTTCGTCTGAGCGTGCGCTACCTGTTCAACTTGTACTTTCCCTAGCTGCTGGATTCTTCGGGAAGGATATAGAAAAAGCCACGCTGGTGTGTTCAATGACGCATATAAAAGCGATTGACCGCGATATCTTCGACGCAGCCTCTCGACATGTGGACTTCTAGGGTCGGAACTGCGATTATCTGCAGCATCTTGATGGTGACTCTCGAACTGAGAGGACATTGGGGACTGTTATCACCTCTAAGTACTGTGAAGATCTGTTGTTTATTTACTAAACTGCAAAGCCTGCAGTTTATCTCCTTATTTAATTTATTCTTTGTATCAAACACTACCAATAAATTTCTGCATCCCTATTGAACCTCGCCATCTCTTAGGCAGCTAGATACGAACGCAACAATATTTATATATATATATATTAAACTCCTCCCTTTCAACCTTTTATATATAGTTTTTTAAATCCTTTTAAAAATATTATATATGCGTGATCTTATTTAAGTATTTTTTTGTTTTATCTATATTTCTGAAGTACATTGAAAGATTATTTTATTGGCCTAAAAATGTTTAGCCAGAAAGGATTGGTTAATTTCTCCTACAGCTTTAGGTCTCTACATGTGCCATAGATGAATAAAATTGTAGTCTGCTTTTCTGAAGCCACTGTCGCCCGAATATTTTGACTTGTAGAGATCTGGAAATAGTTTTTTTTTAAGGACAACAAGGAAAAACGTATAAAACCACATCCCGATTTTAACACTATAATTACAGTTAAAACAAATTAGCCTTGAATTATGATGGTGTAGCCAATTTTCTGTTACAATGAAGCTCCACTGTAGGCATCACTAATGAGAGTAGGCTGCAAAACATCTTTTTTTCACAGGTTTTGGCAAAAGCTCCCGTAAAAACTCATGAATATTGTGGATTCAAAAATGCTCATCTAGCATAAAGCAACCTCCAATAAGGTCATGAAGAAGAGTATATAGTAAATTGTATAATTTAACAACATTATAAAATATGTCCCTTTAGGTAGCTAAAGTCATGTTTTTGTGTCTCAGGCAGAGCTTGACACCACCATTCTTGCAGCAAATTCACCCTCCACTCTACTTATGTCCCTGTCCCTACACAATCTAAAATATTAAAGTAATGCATTTCTTCAATCTCCTTCTTCTCTTCTTTATTCAAAAATTTAAAAATAAAAATTAAATATAAAAATAAATAAATGTGAAATAATGATAGCCTAATCGAGGGTCTAACAAGACAAGACTGACATGAAGTATATGACATGCTTTAAACATGGTTCTGGGTTTCACATACAAGTAACAACAATATCTTTCAATCTATTCACTTCTATATAACGCGGCTGATGATTGTAAAACGAAAAATGCAATTATACCGCGAATGTTTCTTTTAAACAAAAATCGAAATTTATTTTAAAGAGAAATAACAACTATTTCTAACTTTAAGGATGAAGTATGAAAGGGTGAAAAATATGAAGAGTAATGGCGAACGGAAAAATAAAAGTGTCCAGGGGCGGGAAGTTTTAAAGAAACATTCGCGGTATAATTGCATTTTTCGTTTTATTCACTTCTATGTTAATTATTTCACACTACTTTTATCCTATATTGTCAGGTTTTTATTTAAATAGTTTTATTTCGGTTATATATAGTATTAAATGTATTTTGGATGACATAATGTTTCTATAACGGCCTTTTCTATAGTTTTGAAGTATTTGCCTTAATTTATAAATGCATTTAAATAAAGATAACGAAAAGACATTTTTAAAATATATAATGTTTTCAATATAATATGCTATAATATCATTTTTTATTTGCTCTTGAATAGTTCACCCTATTTTTTATCCTATTAATATTTTTCTGAATTATCTAAGAATATTCCAATATTCTCAATTTTTCTATCTATATATTATCGTGATATGAATATAAAAATATATTTGAGTAGGTGTGTCTCTATTAAAACACACACACATTTTGAAATTTAAAAAATAAATAATTAAATTTGTCAGGCATTTAATATTCGTTTAAAAAATCATAGACTAAATAAAATATTATTCAGTTATCATCGCTAAAAATAATTTGTTTATATTATTGTTTTGAATTGAAAACGTGTTTATAAAACAAACTTTTGGGTGTTGACATCCAAAGATCGGTACGTTAAATAAATATATTAATATAATGCATTTATAACACTAAAAACATTGTTTGTACATTTAGGTAAAACATGTACATACATTAATGCAAAAAATGATTAATAATTCCATACACTTTATAGATATCAGTGTTGACCATTTTTTATAAATTAAAAAAAAAAAGACACGCAATTCATGTCAGAATCTAAACCTCAACACTAGATTTGACAAATTGGGAATTCCATCAGAAGACTTCAGTTTTGTCAGTTCTAGGAAGGTCACAATTCCATGAGAACCACCATAGATTTTTAAAATCTTTCAAATAGGCATGACAAGCTTCAGGTAGGCATTCCAAATTTGCAAAGCAGATTTTGTGGCTTTGTCACACGTTTGCCAGATTACAGAAGCAATGAATAGATAGCTCATGGTTTTTGTAACTTTTTTTTTACTATAGTGTTGCCTTTTCTTTATTAATTGTGTGGTTGGGAGCAGCAGAGATGACACGGAAGATCCGATTGCCCAAGAAGCTACCAGAGGCAAGTCCTTGGGAGGAACTGGCATCCAAGAAACCAGAGGCAGCTGCCCCCAAGGAAGAATCCACCACTCAGGAAGAAGCAGCTCCACAAGAGAAGTCCGGAAAGAAGTCCAGGTTCCGACAGAGACTGCAGGCTGAGAGAACTAAGAAGGGAATTTTGTTGCTGCCCCCCCAAGTCAGAACAGAAGATCTACCGGATCAAGAAAGCTCTCAAGTCCAAGGGACTCCCAGAAGACAAGATCAAGGAGGAGTTGAGGAAGGTTCGACGTACAGAGGAACTGAAGTACAGGAGGGAAATGAATGATGTAAGTTTCACAGTTAGTTGAACCTCCCAGCAGAGACTCTGTTGTAACTAGAGGACTGGTCTCTTATTGGAGGTTGAGTTATCTGATCACAAAATTTGTCCTATGTGAGAAGGTACTTTTACCTCATGGGGGGTATGAATCATCAAAGACTCCATGTCACACAGGAGGGTGTAATGTCCAAGCTATTTTTACCTAGAATCCTTCTAAATAGATTTTTTTTTTTATTATCCCTAATACATGTGGTACAGGCCATGATAATCATGGGAAGTTAGCAACTGCTTTTACTGTAAGTGCACCGCATGTCTATACATGTGAAAAGCAGTTTGTCTTTGCACTTACAAATGTGCCAGAGTCCCGTTTGGTTACTTGCACTCGCTGGTGAGGGTTAGACTTTTGTAAGAATCAGGTGAGACATTGGAGCAAATTTTATTTTATTTTTTTTTTTTCATTAGAAAAAAAGTGCCCAATGTGAGTTCGATCCTTGGTCCTAGCTCTTGAAAACCAATGGTTTAACCACCCTTCCACCGACCTCCCCTTCTAAGTGGTTATTTCAGCAATCAAATCAATCCGCCCCACCAGGGAGCTGCTGGAGTAATAAACCTACATTTAATAAGATGCCAAATGTCTTGTAAAAAAGACAAGTGATGTAAGAGGGATGTAGAGACATCACAAAACACATGAAGAGTAGCTGTTGTTCTTCCTTATAGCAAAGAGAGGACACTTATACTAAAGGATACCTCTCTACAAAGGACAGTTTTCACCACCAAAATTACCATTTTTACTATTTAGCTGCTCTCTGGTAAGAGGACACCTCTCCCTAAAGGACACTTTAACTCTTCAACTAGGTATTGTCATTTACAGAGAGGTTCTACTGTACATCTTTATTCCAACATAAAGGAGATGGTCAGGCACTTAAAATGATGAAAAATATATTTCCTGAGGACTCAAATAAGCATTTAAAGATGGCAGAGAGAGCACCATCTATATATACCAGATGGCCCATAAATCCCGAACCCTCTTATTTTTTTATTAGGGATTGGAGGGCAAAGTGGAATAAACACTATTACTGTTTTGTTTTAAATAATAGATTAAAATGATAAGGCACAATTTGGATTATAGATTTTAAATACAAGGTTATTTATTTGGATTTGGTCTTATTACCTTGTGTTTATAATAGATTAAACTTTAACTAAAATAGAATTAACTAAAATAGAATAGTTATAGTTTTTTATTATGGTTTAATTTTTACTTGGGACTTGAGAATTATAATGAGGTCACTGTACACAGTCTAGCCATAAATTCTGTTACAAACAATTTTATAAATTAAATGATTAAGAACAAAAACTAATGGAATATATAAATACATACTTTATTAGCCAATAGGACATAGATTTTAAATATATACAAGCATTCAAAATGTTTTCCCTTATTTTTGACACAGGATCTCAAACGTTCGGGCCACTGATCTATGGTGGCACGCACCTTTTCTAAGGGTATTTCTTTCATTGCTCTCACCAATGCTGATTTCAATTTATCCAAATTATGATATCTTTTAGAGCACACCTTCTCCTCTAAATATGCCCACAAACTGTAATCAAAGGGGTTTAAATCAGGGCTTCCAGAGGGCCATTCATTGGCCTTTATGAACTCCGGAACATTCGTCTCCAACCATTGTTGAGTTGACTTAGCTTTGTGAGCAGGAGCTGAATCTTGTTGAAATATCCAATGTTCTCCATTAAACATTTTTGTATTCAGAGGCTTTACTATTTGTTACAAAATGTCTTATTTATAGTTTTTAGCTGTATTTTTTACCCCTTTGGCACAGAAGTGGAGATCTGTTACACCTTGGTAGCTAACTCCCCACCAAACCATGACAGAAGAAGGATGGTGACTTTTTCAAGTCTTCTGACTTTCAAAGAAGCTTCTAGAGAGCTACGAGCATATATCCTATCATTCTGACGATTAATCTTTTCCTCGACAGTGAAAAATTTCTCGTCTGTGAAAAGGATTCTCTCATGCCACCGACCATCATGCTGCGCCAACAACATTTTTGATCTAACCCTTCTAATATCTCTAAGAGCAGGGGTTATCAAATGACCTGTGCGTCGTTTGAAAGCTCTCAGTCCAAGGTCTTCGTTGATTATTCTTGAAACTATCTTGGAGCTAAATTTATCTGCTTTGCTAAGATCTTTTGTTTGCAGTGTGGATTTCGACGAATTCTTTCGCGAATGGCTTTTATAGCTGCTTGCGTTCGTTGCATGCGAGGTCGACCAGATCTTTCAAGGTCATCAATAGTGCAAGCCTTGTTGAACCTTTCAATGATTCGA